TTTAAAATAACAATAAAAAAAAAAAAGGAAAAGGGGCTGGGAAGGTGGCTCAGTGGTAGAGCGCTTGCCTTGCATGCCTGAGGCCCTGGGTTCCATTCCTCAGCACCACATAAGCAGAAAAAGCCAGAAGAGGTGCTGTGGCTCAAGTGGTAGAGCACTAGCCTTGAGCTGAAGAGCTGAGGGACAGCGCCCAGGCCCAGAATTCAGGCCCCTGGACCCAACAGCAAAAAAAAAAAAAAAAAAGGGGGGGGGACCTTTTAGATTAAAGGTATGGTTCAAGCTGAGCACCAGGGGCTCACTCCTGTAATCCTAACTACTCAGGAGGCTAGGATATGAGGATTGCGGTTCAAAGCCAGCCCGGTTAGGAAAGTCCTTAAGACTCTTATCTCCAATTAATCACCAGAAAACCAGAAGTGAGCCTATGGCTCAAGTGGTAGAGCGGGAATGTAAGGCCCTAAAGTGAAGCCTCAGTACTGGTACATTAATCAGAGTAGCATGGCAGCAGACAAAAAAAGAATGCTATGGAAATTCTTTTTTTGTTTTCTCCCATGTTGTGGCATGAACGGTAGCCACAGGTCTAACTGTTGGCAGGGCTGTGGCTTTGCCAACATCATTAACCCTCTAAAGACAGAGCAGAAGACTGCTAGCGTGGCAATTAGTTATCCAACCCCCCTGCAAGGGTTTGGTCTTCCCTTATTTCCAGTGAGGGCATTTCTGCTATTTCTTCGAAAATGAACCACATTCTTTTCCTTGGCATAGCAGTGGCTCTCCGAAAAGAGAAGGGGTGACATAGTTCTGCATTTGTCTCATTCCTTTGATCTCCTGTTCAGACTCTCTGGGCAGTCACTGTATTTGTTTTTTAGTCTTCTAGGCCAGGATACCTTGATGCTAAAAATCCATTAGAATTGTCTATTATATTCTAGGGCAGAGAACTGGTTTGAGAGAGCATCAGAGAGGCTGAGTGGTTTTCCCAGTCATATAATTTAAGAGTTTGAGCTGGGCTGGGAATGTGACTTAGCAGTAGAGTGCTTGCCTAGTGTGCATGAAGCCCTGGGTTTGATTCCTCAGTACCACATACACAGATAAAGCCAGAAGTAGTTCTATGACTCAAGTAGTAGAGTGCTATCCTGAACAAAAGAAGCTCAAGGGCAATGTCCAGACCAAGAGTTCAAGGCCTAGGACTGGCAAAAAAAAAAAAAAAGAATAAGAAAGAAGAGTTTGAGGGTAAGACTCAAACTCTAATATCAGCATTACCGCTAATGTTTTAGGAGCATCATTGGATTTGAAGAGTTGTCTGCAGCTACTTCTTTTTAAAAAGTATTCTACCCAACAGAAATGTGATAAAATGGATGGTATGAGCTGTAATCCAAATAAAATAAATTTCATTACTAACTTTCTCTATTTTTCCTTCTCAGGTCTGAAAAGATGGCTGGTCTCATTGGAAATGTTTCCTACTGATATACATGCCTACTTTATGCACCAAATAGGTTATAACCATTTAAAGACAGGTATCATCCATCTACTCTTTATTTCCACTTCAGGCATCACTGGCATGTTTATCTTCCTGTAGACCAGACTTTCAGAAATAAAACTAAGGACTAACATTGGTCTCAAGTACCTTGTAAAAAAAATAATAAAATACCTTGAAAACCTAAAACAAAATTTGGCACTTTGTGTGTGTGGGTTTTTTGGCGGGTCATGGGGCTTGAACTCTGGACCTGGCTGCTGTCCCTCAGCTCTTCAGCTCAGGAAGAGAGCTCTACCACTTGAGCCACTGCGCCACTTCTGGTATTCTGGTGGTTAATTGGAGATAAAAGTCTCACAGACTTTCCTTGCCCAGGCTGGCTTTGAACCTTGATCCTCAGATCTCAGTTTCTCGTGTAACTAGGATTACAGGCATGAGGCACTGGCGCCCAGCTATTTTGACACAGAAGGTCAGTAGAAAAAAAAAAAAAGCCTAATAAAAGTAACAGTTGATCCTATAGGAAGCCCTTACTATATATACTAAACTCTACATATCTAAGAAATTGGAGAGACCACACAGACCTAACTGAAGCCTGGTACAGTGATGAGCAGGCTTCTCCACCCTGTAGGGCACTTCCTCTTTCACTGTTTTCACCCACAGCGGTGAAAGCAGAAGACTTGCTGCCACAGCACTGTTATTTGAAATCATTTTCAAAGTCATTTTGCAAAACTTTTATAGAGCCAGATCTGGGTAAGGCATCAGTTGATACTGTGTGTTCTGTTAAAAGTTGTCTTAAGGGCTGGGAAGGTGGTTCAGTGGTAGAGCGTTTGCCTTGCATGCATGAGGCCCTGGTTCGATTCCTCAGCACCACATAAGCAAAAAAGAAAAAAACCGGAAGTGGCGCTGTGGCTCAAGTGGTAGAGTGCTAGCCTTGAGCTGAAGAGCTGAGGAACAGCGCCCAGGCCCAGAGTTCAGGCCCCACGACCGGACCCAAAAATAAATAAATAAATAAATAAAAGTTGTCTTAAGCCAGGTGCCAGTGGCTCATGCCTGTAATCCTAGCTACTCAGGAGGCTGAGATCTGAGGACTGCGGTTCAAAGCCAGCCTGGGCAGGAAAGTCTGTGAGACTCTTATCTCCAATAAACCAGAAGTAGAAAACCAGAAGTAGCACTGTGGTTCAAAGTGGTAGAGCACTTGCCTTGAGCTGAAGAGCTCAGGACACTGCCCAGGTCCAGAGTTAAAGCCCCACCACTGACAAAAATAAAATAAAGTTATCTTAAAAGGTGGGAATGTGGCTTAGTGGTGGAGTGCTTGCCTAGCATGCGTGAAGCCCTGGGTTCAATTCTCAGTACCACATAAACAGAAAAGGCCAGAAGTGGCGCTGTGGCTCAAATGGTAGAGTGCTAGCCTTCAGCAAAAGCAGCTCAAGGACAGTGCCCACGCCCTGAATTCAAGCCCTAAGACTGGCAAAAAAAAAAGTCTTAAAATTTGTCTCTGGGCTCAAAACATATGCAAGTCAAAACTCCCACAAGGGGCTTTGGGAAGGTAGCTCAGTGGTAGAGTGCTTGCCTAACATACATGAGGCCATTACATGATACAGGCGATAGGCAATCTTTACTGTAGAGCTTGTGCATTTGGATTTTGAGTCTTCTATACCATGAACTAAATAAAACAAGTTAAGCGGCTTGTGTCGTGTAGTTTGTTATAGTGATACAAGCCTAATACAGTCATCCATAAAAATAGGGTCATTATTCCTATATCACAGCTAATTCGTTTCATTCACTTTAATCATTTACTCAATAAATATGGAGCACTTATTTCATGCCAGCTACTATTCTAGGAGAAAGTGGTAAGAAAGGCTTTGCAGCTGTGAAGTTCTAGGCAATACTTTTACTTCCAATGGCTCTTTAGGCAAATGCTCATTAAATTACCTAAAAGCATAGCAGAGATACCAGGAAAAAAAACCTCTTGACACTGAGCTAAAAGGCTTTGGGCAACAAGATGGTCCTCAATCTCTCTAGAAGTTTCCCCCAAGTTTAGCCCTGCAGGATAATCTCTTCTGGTGGCTTAGTATTTCCAAGAATGACCTTCTTATTCAAAGAATTCACAGAGTTGCATTTTTCAGAAGCTTCTAGATTTACCTCCTAAAAATAATCCTTTTGGCTGGGTACCAGTGGCTCATACCTAAAATCTTAGCTACTCAGGAGGCTGAGATTTGAGGATTGAGGTTGGATGCCAGCCTGGGCAATAAAGTCCTAAGATTCTTCTCTCCAATTAATCAGCAGCAGACAAAGCCAACTGAGAGCACAAGGCACTGGGTTAAAGCTGCTTCTTTAGCTCATCATCCCCAAGGACCATATTTGGAGTTGTTTTCTGAGCCCCAACAATGGCTCCAAAGTAAACTTGATACTTCTGGCGCTGATGTGATTCTCTAAAATGCTTAAAAAAAAAATCTCTTTTTTCTTTCATGCGATTGTTTCTAACATTTATAAGATGATTTCTTTGTTGCTTTGTATGTCCCTCCCCCACAGCATAACCCCTGCTTTCACTGTATTTGATGTTGGTATAATTTGTGGAGGGGAAGGGGAAAAACAAATCATTTAAATAGGGATACAGGTGGACCCATTGCAACAATGAGATGTACAAGTCGTTAGGTCGAAAACGAACTTTACAACTTTGGGGGTGGGGCGGGGAGGCGGGGGGGGGGGGAGGGGGGGAGGATGGGAAGGGATGGGAAGGGGAAACAAAGGAGGAGGCTACAATGCTTGATAAGAAATGTACTCATTATCTTGCCTGTGTAATTGTAACCCCTCTGTACAGTATTTTCACAATAAAAATAAAATAAAATAAAAAATCTCTAGGTAGAGCTGGGAATGTGGCTTAGTGGTCGAGTGCTTTCCTTGCATGCAATGAAGCCCTGGGTTCATTCCATTCCTCAGTACCACATACACAGAAAAGGCCAAAGTGGTGCTGTGACTCAAGCGGTAGAGGACTGGCCTTGAGCAAAAGAAGCTCAGGGACAGTTGTACAAACCCCTGAGTTCAAGACCCAGGACTGGTTTTAAAAAAAACCTTTAGGTAAAATTCCTCAAACCTCTGAACTAGTAGTTACATTCCCGAGAAATTCAGCATATGTGAGCTGGCCATATTAAGTGGTCAACAAATATTCAACCAATAAAATAATAGAAAAATTAAAAACATTTTTGCATGTGACTGTAAGCTTCAGATTACAAATATATATATATATATATATATTGTGTGTGTGTGTGTGTGTGTGTGTGTGTGTGTGTGTGCTCGCGCGCGCATAGAGGTTAGGACTTAAGTTGGGAGCCTGGCCTTTAGCTCCTAAATACTTCAACTATTATCACTGGAATAACCAAAGTATTCCATGAATTTCCACCTCATATAGAGGGGTAAAGTGGCTAGTCTTGGTTGAGAACCACTTGTTTACAGTGAAGAACTGCTTATGTAATCTCTAGAGAAGGGGTGGGGCAGAGAGCAGTATCCACCCCTTCCTTCCTCAGAGAGTGCTAGGCTTAGAGGAAAGAGGAAAATAAGGACCAGGGACGTCTCCTTTCTAATCTGAAGTGGAGGTTTTTGGCGGGAGACCGGCGGTAAGCCACCTTGGGCTGGTTTTGAGTGGACGGTGCTTGTCAAGACTTGGCACTTCTTCAACCTGCTTTAGGACCTTGCTTCTGCTCCCCGGGCATCTACGCCTCCTTCTGCTTCTTCCTGTGTATTCAACTGCTCTCCCTGGCTCCCTGCCAAATACACATACATGCATGCACACACAAATAGACATCCACGCATACACATGCATGCATATAGGCACAAAGGCATTGTCCTTCCTGGACCACAGTAGACAGGAAGTAGGGGGGAATTTCAGCTCAGTTGGGCCTTATCTGGACCAATAAGCCAAGTAACAATGGGCTGGATCATTTCCTTTTCATTAATTCTGGAGTATCTGCTCCTGCAGAACTGGGAAAGGTAAGACAAAATACCTGGATTATTGGATCTTATTAGATGTAAGAGTGGGACTGTTGTATATATGGGGACTTGTATTTTCTGGGGGTGCCCAGCTTCTTCAAATAGCCCTTTCCCAGTGCTGATTGGGAAGGAAGAACAGGCCTGTCACAAAATGCAGAGGGGAAGGTAGACTCCGTCGGAGGCAGGTGATTCAGAGCCTAAAAGGGATCGCTGCCATAATAGGTTCTCTCATACAGATGGGGGAGTGCTAGGTGAGGCACCTACCTTTGGGATCCACTTATTTTTTGAGGGGGAGAGAGACTTCTCCACCAGGTTCTAAGGGGCCTGCATCTAAATCCACAGCTGTCACATTTCTATCATGTATTTACAAGGTTGTATAACTATCATCTCAATTATGAAGGGAAGCAATTATGTACTAGAAAGTAATTAACTAGAAGAGAATCATAGAGGTAGTAAAAGTTCTCCTAAAAAAGAAGATTCGGGGGCTGGGAAGGTGGCTCAGTGGTAGAGCGCTTGCCTTGCATGCCTGAGGCCCTGGGTTCGATTCCTCAGCATCACATAAGCAAAAAGAAAAAAAGCCGGAAGTGGCGCTGTGGCTCAAGTGGTAGAGCGCTAGCCTTGAGCTGAAGAGCTGAGGGACAGTGCCCAGGCCCAGAAGATTCCCTGGGCTGGGAATGTGGCTTAGTGGTAGAGTGCTTGCCTTGCATGCATGAAGCCCTGGGTTCGGTTCCTCAGTACTACATACATAGAAAAAGCCGGTTTGCCCATGTAACTGTAACTCCTCTGTACAGTATTCTCACAATTAACCTGTGATACTGAAAATACATGTGTCTACCTAAGGAGGAATGTTGCTCTTATGGTATTATCTTTTTTTTTTTGGTCCAGTCATGGGGCCTGAACTCTGGGCCTGGGCGCTGTCCCTCAGCTCTTCAGCTCAAGGCTAGCGCTCTACCACTTTAGCCACAGCACCACTTCTGGCTTTTTTTCTTTTTGCTTATGTGGTGCTGAGGAATCGAACCCAGGGCCTCATGCATGCAAGGCAAGCGCTCTACCACTGAGCCACCTTCCCAGCCCCCTGATGGCATTATCTTAAGAACAGTCTTGGGTTGTATAAATCAAGCCTCTGATCTAATAGATAAGGTGAAGGTATGAATAGTGGGATTCCTTTACGGTCCAACTCTTAAAATGGCTGTGGCTACTAATCATTCTTTTATTCCTCTTCATCTTCCTCAGTTTGGACCATGTCTGCTGCAAATCTGTATTGATCTCATCACACACCAGGTCAAAGTTTCATATGGACAATTCTTCCTCCTATAAGGATTTCAACCTATGCCCAAAGCAAGATTCTTATCTCCAATCAAACACCAAAAACACCAGACGTGAAGCTGTGGCTCAAATGGCAGAGTGCTAGCTTTGAGCACAAAAGCTCAGGGACAGCATCTAGACCTTGGGTTCAAGCCCCAGGATGGGTGGGGGCGGGCGGTGGGGACACAGACAGACAGGCAGGCAGGCAGGCAAAGACAGAGACAGAGACAGATACAGAGACAGAGACAGAGAGAAAGACAGAAAGAGGATGGGCTGGGGTTAGTTAGCCATTCCAGTCAGGGATTCTCTTTCTCTTATGTAAGTGATGATCAAACCAACTGTCAAACTGTCACGGAATCTTCCAGACCTCACTCTAGTCTTGCTCTTTTCTCCAGCTTCTGAGTTTTGCCTCCACCTTTCGTGGGCTCTGAGCCCATTCCTAGAAAACAAGCTGGTCTAGGACTTCAGGTCTGCTGCAGCGTAGGCCTGCTAAGCTGATCCAAGTAGCCTGCTTCTGCCCCCTGGTGGCCAAACGATCAAGTGTCATGGAGGTTAGTTACTCTTTGCCAACAACTTTATACTAAATACTGTAAATCTTAATAACTGCTTTTACTGCTTTTAATCCATAAAAATAATTATTTTTGTGCTGGTATTAAGTTTCAATTCAAGGCCTTCCGCTCCTACTTGACCTTCTTACTCACATCCGACTGACTACCACTTGAGCCTCACTTCTAGTCCCAGTTTCCAATTCTTACAAAGTTTAATTTCATTATATATACACTAATTATTAAGATCATATTCTAATTTCAATATCATAGGACCTTTTAGGTTTGTTCCTATCCTGCTTTGTTCCTAGTTTTTGAAGCAAACAGGGCTCTAACATTTCTAGAGAGAAAAAATATACTGTTGCTTTTTTTTTTTTTTTTTTGGTCGGTCGTGGAGCTTGAACTCTGGGCCTGGGCACTGTCCCTCAGCTCTTCAGCTCAAGGCCAGTGCTCTACCGCTTGAGCCACAGCACTGCTTCCAGTTTTCTAGTGATTTATTGGAGATAAGAGTCTTACGGACTTCCCCACCCGGGCTGGCTTTGAACCTCGATCCTCATCTCAGCCTCCTGAGTAGCTAGGATTACAGGCGTGAGCCACCTTGCCCAGCTAACTGTTGCTTTTTCTGTTCTCTCTCCGTACTGTCCCTCCTTCTCTCCCTCTTCTTTCTTCCTTCCTTCCTTCCTTTTTTTCTTTCTTCTTTCTTTCTTTCCTTTTCCCTCCCTCCCTCCCTCCCTCCATTCCTTCCTTCCTTGCTTCCTTATTTCCTTCCTTCCCTCCCTGGGTCTTAGGAAGACTCATCTCCAGTTAATCAACAAAAAGCCAGAAGTAGAGCTGTGGCTCAAAGTGGTAGCATGCTACCCTTGAACAAAAGAGTTCAAGGACAGTTACAGGCCCTGAGTTCAAGCCCCAGAAACAACAACAACAACAAAGGGTAATAAGTAGCAAAAGAGAAGCTGAGAATAAAACTCTCAACTGAGAAATCATTTGGTTGCCTACTCCTACTCTTTCTTCCCTTGCTGTGGTTCTCTATTAAAGCTTAAATAGGGCCATAAACCATAATGTTAGAAGACACTAGCTAGTGCTGGTGGCTCATGCCTATAATCCTAGCTACTCAGGAGGTTGAGATCTGAGGATCGAGGTTTAAAGCTGGCCTGGGCAGTAAAGTCCATGAAACCCTTATCCCCGATTAACCACTAAAAAAAGCTAGAAGTAGAGCTGGCACAATACACACATATACATACACACACATTATTTGGACTGTTTTTACAAAAGAGAGATTATGGTGTTTGTACTCTATTTCCATCAATTTTCAGCTCTTTTAGGAATGGAACCAACCATACTGGGAAAACTCATTTAAGCTATTCTTTCCCAAAGGTATCATCCATGTCTTCCTCCCACATCAATGGAAACTACATTGAAGGGAGTGATACAGGCTTCCAGGTTCCAGCGAAGATGATGATACAAGATATCACTATGGAGCTTCATTGCTCACTGTGTAAAGAATGGTACCGTGACCCACTGATGCTAAGCTGTGGCCACAACTTCTGTCAAGCCTGTATCAAAGAGTTCTGGAAGTTGCAAACTAGAGAAACATTCTGCCCTCAGTGTAAAATGCTATGTCAGCACAGCAACTGTACTTACAATCTTGTGCTGGAGAAGCTGGTAGAGAAGATCAAGAAATTACAATTAATAAAAGGTCAACCACAGTGTCCGGAGCATGGAGAGACTCTGAAACTGTTCAGTAAGCAAGAAAGAAAACTGATGTGCTTTCAATGCAAGGATATACGGTTATCTATGGGAGAATCCAGGGAGTTCCTGCAAATCAGTGATGCTTTCCATATCTTGTCGGTGTGTAAGTCCTGGGCTTTGGGCAATCCCAACATTAGGAAAAAATCTTTTGCTGGGCTTCTTCTCTCCTTCAACCCCTCTCCTTTGTTCAAATAATGACCAGAAAGCTCGGAGTGCTCGGAATATCTTATAAAGTTCTTCCTCTATAGGTGTTGCATATAGGAAAGGACAATCTGACTGATGTCCTCACTCATACAAGGTGTAGAAAGAATATGGACATAAAAGAAACTGCTCTTGTTTATAAAAGCTCCCAATTCTGGTCAGGTTTAGAACAAATGTAACTACAGAATATGAGATAGTCTACTATAGAGAGTTAGATTTCTACCACATTTCTTTTTTTGGGGTCCAGTCGTGGGGCCTGAACTCTGGGCCTGGGCGCTGTCCCTCAGCTCTTCAGCTCAAGGCTAGCGCTCTACCACTTGAGCCACAGCACCACTTCCAGCTTTTTTCTTTTTGCTTATGTGGTGCTGAGGAATCGAACCCAGGGCCTCATGCGTGCAAGGCAAGCACTCTACCACTGAGCCACCTTCCCAGCCCCTCTACCACATTTTGAATTCTCTTTCTCTTCCCCTGCCCATCCAATCCCCAATTAACCAATAGCTTTTACTGAGATTGCTTATGCTCTCTTCACATAGTTGCACTGTTTTGAAATTATTCATCCTTCATTCTTCTCTTCTTTTCCCTTCTCCTCATCTCATAAAATTGTTCTATGTGTACATATATATGTATACATATATTATGTATATGTATGTATATATGTACATAAATGTACATTAGTTACATCTGCTTGTCTATGTGCTGCTGAAGAATGGGCACAGGGCATCATGCATTCATGATGCTAGGCAAATGCTCAGCCACTGAGCTACATTCCCATTCACAATTCTTTTTTTTCTTTTCTTTTTTTCATTTTTGGTGCTCATACTAGGGCTTGAACTGAAGGTCTCAAGCTCTTGCTCAGCTTTTTTGCTCATGGCTCATATTCTGCCACTTGGGTTATACTTCCAGTCCAACTTTTTTTTTTGCTGTTTAATTAGAAATAGAGTCTGCTGGCTTTGAACTGTGATCCTCAGATCTCAGCCTCCTGAGTAGCTATGATTACAGGTGTGAGCCACAATTTTTGAAACAGACAGGAACTATGACAAATGAAAAGGGAAACGATTTTTAGTAAAAAGACAAAAGATTTATATGTTCTGAAGAGAAGCCACAGAGTATGGGAGAAAGATTTTTGGGTTTTTTTTGGGTCTGGTCATGGGGCCTGAACTCTGGGCCTGGGCACTGTCCCTCAGCTCTTCAGCTCAAGGCTAGCACTACCACTTGAGCCACAGCACCACTTCTGGCTTTTTTTCTTTTTTGCTTATGTGGTGCTGAGGAATCGAACCCAGAGCCTCAGGCATGCAAAGCAAGCGCTCTACCACTGAGCCACCTTACCAGCCCCGGGAGAAATATTTTTGGTAGAAGAGGTTACTTTTCTGGCACAATGGAGCTATTGGCAGTGCCCTTCGTGCCTCTCATCTCCCAAGTTTGTGTGGGTTAATTCGACTTGATATTCCAGGAGGAACTTACCATCTATCAAGGTCAACTGGAGGCAAGCCTGAAAGAACTTCAGTCTTTGAAAAACATGCAGCAGGATGCTATTGCTGAGTCCAAGGTGAGAAGCAAATTAGAGGGGCTGTAAATAGAAGTGGAATACACTGTCATTTTGACTTCAGCTACATGGGTGCAAAGGGGTGTGTGTGTGTGTGTGTGTGTGTGTGTGTGTGTGTGTGTGTGTGTGTGTGTGTGTGTGTGTGTGTGTGTGTGTGTAGTGTATTGTATATATATATGTGTGTGTGTGTGTGTGTGTGTGTATTAACATATATATATGTCAATACACCAATATACTGAATGACACATGGACTATACAATTAGAAAACTGACACTTTAAGGTGGAAAGAAAAATGTTCCATAGAATAAGTTTCCAACAGTAGATAGAAGAGATTGGCATTCCACTCTAACTGTACTGATTCTTTTTTTTTTTTTTTTTCCTGGTATTGGGCTTGAACTCAAGTCCTCACACTTATTTATTCATGATTCCCACTACCACTTGAGATGTACTTCCAGTACAGCTTTTTTTGTGTGTTGTTGTTGGTCATGGGGCTTGAACTCATGGCCTAGGTGCAGTCCCTGAGCTCTTTTTGCTCAAGTCCAGTACTCTACGACTTGGAGCCATGGTGTCACTTTCAGCTGTTGAGTGGCATGGACTTTCCTGCCCAGCTGGCTTCGAACCACAGTCCTCAGATCTCAGCCTGCTGAGTAGCTAGCTAGGCATGAGCCAACAGTGCAAAATGATATTACACAGGAAGATATGGCTCCAATCCCATCAGCCCTTAAGTAGATACAATTTAGCATTATGAGGTTTATCCTGTGAATGAGAAATAATTAAAGGGACTTAAATAGGGCCTGATTTCATCTTGCTTTGAAAATATCTCTGGTGGATACTTGGAGAAAGGCAATGGTGAAGACAGTGGTTAGAAGACTATAGAGTGGTTTCAGAAAATGATGGTAATGTCTTGACCTACTGAGTCAATTCTGAGAAATAAACAGCTTGAGTATATGATTTGGAGATAAAATGATCTGGATATGGTGACTGATGAGATAGCCAGTATTACATGAGATAGACAGACAGACAGATAGATAGATAGATAGATAGATAGATAGATAGATAGATAGATAGATAGATAGATATTATTTAAAGCTGGGAGCTGGTGGCTTATCCCTGTAGTCCTAGCTACTCAGGAGGCTGAGATCTGAGGATTGTAGGTTCAAAGCCAGCCCGGGCAGAAAATCCATGAGACTCTCATCTCCAATAAACCACCAGAAAACTGGAAGTGGCATTGTGGCTCAAGTGGCAGAGTAATTGCCTTGAGCTGAAGAGCTGGGGGACAGCGTCCAGGCCCAGAATTCAAGCCCCATGACCAACAACAACAAAAAAGATAATAGATATTATTTAAAGCCATGGAAAGAAAGAAGATTACCTGGGAAGACAATGTAGAATGTAAAGGAGAAAGGGCCTACGATAGACTATCAAGTAAACCTAAAAGCGTGTTGAGAGGAAAGTGGAGCCAATAAATAAGAATGAGAGGCATAGTTCAAGTGGCAGAGGCTTCCCTAGCAAGAGTAGTGCACTGGGTTCAACCCAACTACCACAAGGAAATAAGTGAAAACAAATAATTTTAAATGAGAAGACTGAGGGATACTGGTAAGAGAGGGAGAAAGGGAGACCACGGCTACAGAAGAGAAGGAGTTAAGACTATCTTTAAGAAAGCAGTTAATAATGATGGACCATAAATCCAGGTTGGATATGTTATATGATGCTAGAAGTTTATGAATAGAAATGGAGGGGTCAAACTGGGTGCCGGTGGCTCATGCCTACAATCCTAGCTACTCAGGAGGCTGAGATCTGAGGATCGCATTTCAAAGGCAGCCCCAGCAGGAAAGTCTGTGAGACTCTTTATCTCCAATTAACGACTCAAAAACTGGAAATGGCACTGTGGCTCAAGTGGTAGAGCGCTAATCTTGAGCTGAAGAGTTGAGGGACAGCACCTAGGCCCAAAGTTCAACCCCCACGACTGACAAAAAAAAAGAAAAGAAAAGAAAAAAGAAATGAAGTCAATGAAAACAAAATTTCAATTAGATCCAACAATTGCTATAATGGGGTACTTGAGTAAGCCTAGAGCATACAAAGTTATTTTGTAGACAGTGTAATTGCTGGGGCTAAGAAAAAAATCCCACGAATGAAGGGGAATCAGTGGCTAAAGCCGTATAAATTATTAGAAAGGGGGAAAATGAGGAACTGAGAAGCCAGTAAGATAGTCCACCTATGGGAAGATTGTGGTCACCCAAGAAAAGAACCACAGTATAGTAGAATTTTGTTTTTCTTTGCCAGTCCTGGGGCTTGAACTCAGAGCCTAGGCACTGTCCCTTAGCTTCTTTTGCTCAAGGCTAGCACTCTATCACTTGAGCCACAGCACTACTTCTGGCTTTTTCTGTTTGTATGGTACTGACGATGAACGGAACCCAGCGCTTCATGCATGCTAGGCAAGCACTCTACCACTAAGCCACTTTCCCAGCCCTAGTAGAATTGTTTGTCAATGTTTTCAAAATTGCTCATATCTGTTTCGTTTATACTGTTTCGTTTATACTGTCCTAGCAATGGAGTGATATCCCGAGTTCTGATTTCCAGATAAGGACAATTCTTCCTGGCTCTTTCTGACCCTAGTCTAATAACACTATTTGGTATCTACTGGTTTGCCAATCTAGAAAGGTATAAAATGTTTGATTAACTCCACAATGTTATCTAGTAAGTGGCACTGGTTACCATGCCAGTACTGCAACAAGAATCAAGATACTACTTTTTGATTCTTTAATTCTAACCACTAAACTACCTATAGAAAAAGGAGTTAAGTCTCCCAAAGGGAGAGAAAATAGCCATTTGTATGGTGTTTCTCAATGTGTGTTAGTACTGGTGGTATGGGTCCCCATCCCCAAATGCTAGTCTCAATAACCATGGTGATGATCATGGAGGTTTCCAGGAAAACAAGGTACAACTGCAGCAACACATTTCCCTGGAGTTTCTAAAGCTCCATCAGTTCCTGCACAGCAAAGAAAAGGATATTCAAAATGACCTCATGGAAGAGTGGAAAGTCTTGAGCGAGGAGATGGAGCACAACCTGAAGCAGCTTCAGGAACAATGTTTCCTGGCCAAAGACATGTTGGTGAGCATTCAGAAAAGGATGGAAGAAAAGAACCACTATGACTTCCTCAGCGTGAGTCTCTATATTAACATTATGGGTTTACTTAAGAGTTGGGGGGAGGAGGGGTGTGGATGTATGTGTGAGAAAGATGTAGTAGTGGCTTTTCACCACTAGGGGTATCCAAAGCAAAGCAAAACAAAAACTAGAACTACTTTAGTGTTTTCTGATGTCTGGAAAGAAAAGGAGATTACTCATGTGCTGAGTAAAAACTTTTAACTTCCTAGAAACAAGACAATAAAATACTACATGTAATACTACTTATTGGATATTTTTGTATTTTCATAAAGTACATTAAAGCTTTATTTAGAAATTTTAAAAAAGAGCTGGGTGCCGGTGGCTCACGCCTGTAATCCTAGCTATTCAAGAGGCTGAGATCTGGGGATCATGGTTCAAAGCCAGCCCGGCAGGAAAAGTCCGTGAGACTCTTTTTTTGGGGGGGGGAGAGGGGGTCCAGTCATGGGGCCTGGGCGCTGTCCCTCAGCTCTTCAGCTCAAGGCTAGCGCTCTACCACTTGAGCCACAGCACCACTTCCGGCTTTTTTTTTTCCTTTTCGCTTATGTGGTTGGTGCTGAGGAATCGAACCCGGGGCCAAATGCATGCAAGGCAAGCACTCTACCACTGAGCCACCTTCCCAGCCCCACCGTGAGACTCTTATCTCCAATAAACCACTCAGAAAACCAGAAGTGGCATTGTGGCTCAAGTGGTAAGGCGCTAGCCTTGAGCTGAAGAGCTGAGGGGCAGCGCCCAGGCCCAGAGCTCAATCCCCACCACCAACAAAAAGAAAAAGAAAAAAAAAAAAAGTTACAGCCTGTGTTGAAGTTTTGGCTCATGGTAATCATAAACTGATCTATCTGCAAAGCTATTTGCCACTTTGCATCTGAAGCTCTACCTAAGGTGATACTGGTTATCACCTCAGTCTAATTAACCAAATTAAAGAAGAGTGGCCTTGGGTCTGGAGTATCTACTGTGTGTTTTTTTTTTCTGAGAGTACTTGGGAGCATAAAATACTAGCTTACCCTAAATTATTGTCTGAATGGCTTTTCTTGATTCCAAGAAAAGGAAATCTTGAAAAGAAAATCACAGCAAGGCAAAGCCAGTTTATCCTAGGTCAGATCAGAACTGGCGTATGAAGATTTTGCAAAAAAGGTTATTGGGCCCAGTTGGGATGATCCTAAGTACTGCTGATCAAATTATGTGGCAGTCAGAATCACCACAGACGTTTCTAGGGTTCCTAAGCAGGATCTGATGTCTGTAATTCTCCTTTCCTCTTTTAGGACATCAAACAGCTTTTTGATAGGTAAGTGCTTCCTTATGGTACTCTTTACACCATTCCTTCGGTCTGGAGGGTATCTAAGCATGAATTATTTATGTCCCCTGCAGCTTGGAGCAAACAACGACGGCACTGGAACCCAGACAGCTTATCTCCAGAAGTCTGAACCCAGGCCAGTTCAAAGGTCCCATCCAGTACAGTACATGGAGGGAAATGCAGTCTATTCTCTCTCCAGGTACCAGTGTGTATGGATTAGTGATTCCTAATCTATGCTTCCTCTGTGGGACCTTTTCTGTGATGTTAACTAGTTCTTTTCTTTTCTTTTTTGGTCTGAGAACGGGTACCTGACACTTTCACCACTGGTTAGTGCTCTATCAACTGAGCCATGCCTCCAACCCCCCACTACCAACTAATTCTCAACATTTTGTATTTTGTCTGTGTGTATGTGAATGAACTCAGTCAGCTGTGAGAATGAACTCAGAGCCTGGTGCTGTCCCTGAGCTTTTTCACTCAAGGCCAGCACTCTACCACTTTAAGCCACAGAGCCACTTCCGGTTTTCTGGTGGTTAATGGGAAAGTGGCTCAGTACTACAGTGCTTGCCCTGCATGCGTGAGGCCCTGGGTTCGATTCCTCAGCACCACATAAGCAGAAAAAAAAAAGCCGGAAGTGGTGCTGTGGCTCAAGTGGTAGAGCACTAGCCTTGAGCTGAAGAGCTGAGGGACAGCGCCCAGGCCCAGAGTTCAGGCCCCACGACCGGCCCCCCCCCCCCCCAAAAAAAAAGAGTCACACAGACTTTCCTGCCCAGGCCTGGCTTTGAATCCCTATCCTTAGATCTCAGCCTCCTGAGTAGCTAGGATTACAGGTGATCCACTTAATGTAGTTTTTCACAACTAAAAAAAAAAAAACAAAGTACATATATTATTATTAACTAAGATCACAGTTTCTTTAGATTACTTTAGTTTTCAATCTATGTCACTCTAAATCCCAGGATCTCATCTAAGATACATTGCTCTTCACTGTCATATTTTTTCAGGCTGCTCTTGGTAGTACTTAGAATTCTTCATTTCTGAAGATTTTGACAGTTTTGAGGAGTATTACTCATATATTTTATACGATGCTGTGCTATTGCATTTGTGTGCTGTTCTCATGATAAGATTTAAGTTTAAAAAGACTATAGTGTTAAATTATCATTTTCATCACTTTATAGCAAGTGTATACACTCCTAACATGATTTATGACTGTTGATGCTGGCTTTAATCACCTGGCTAAGATAGCATTTGCTAGACTTGTCCCTTGTAAAGCTATCATCTCTTCTTCCATACTATAGGCTATGGAAGGCAACTACTCAATACAGCTTACCTTTTTTTTATTGGGGGAGGGGGGTCCAGTTGTGGGGCCTGAACTCTGGGCCTGGGCGCTGTCCCTCAGCTCTTCAGCTCAAGGCTAACACTCTTATCACTTGAGCCACAGCGCCACTTCCGGCTTTTTCTGCTTATGTGGTACTGAGGAATCGAACCCAGGGCCTCAGGCATGCAAGGCAAGCGCTCTACCACTGAGCCACCTTCCCAGCCCCAATACAGCTTACCTTTAAGGAGTGAATAGTGATAATTTGCCCTCCAGTATCTGCATAAATTATTTGGAATTCTGTTGCATGGGAAATGTGTCCCTTCTGACTACTTTGGATGTCAAATATGATAGATTTTTGTCTTGGTTATTCTTGAGATAGTGTCCTGCTTTATGCACAAGTTGGCCTGGACTGTGATCCTCCTATTTATGCTTCCCCAAGTTCTGGGATGACTGGTGTGTGCCACTACATCCAGTCACTGATTGAAATGCAGTCTCATTAATTATTATTTTTGTCTGGGACTAGCCTCAAACCTTGATTCCTTAGATCATCTCCCAAGTAGGTAAGATTACAGGCTTCAGCCCTGCCTTTTTTTTTTTTTTTTGTCTGTTGTGGGGCTTGAACTCTGAGCTTGGGTGCTGTCCCTGCACTCTTCAGCTCAAGGCAAGTGCTTTACCACCTGAGCCATGGCGCCACTTCCAGTTTTCTGGTGATTTATTGGAGATGAGTCTCATGAACTTTCCTGCCCAGGTTGGCTTTGAACCTCAGTCCTCAGATCTCAGCCTCCTGAGTAGCTAGGATTACAGGCATGAGCCACTAATGCCTGGCCCAATTTTTTAAAATAAATTCTTTGTAGGACTGGTGGTATGGCTCAAGTGGTAGAGCCTCACACTTAGCAAGTGTGAGGCCTGGCGTTCAAACTCCTACACTATACAAAAACATATTTTTGAGCTGGATGATATCTGAGAGGTGCAGTTCAAAGTCAGCCCAAGCAAGAAATTCCATGAGACTTTTTTTTTTTTTGGAGGAGGGGCAGTTTTAGGGCTTGAACTCAGGGCCTGGGCACTATCCCTGAGCTTCTTTTGCTCAAGACTAGCATTCTATCACTTGAGCCACAGTGCCACTTCTGGCTTATTTTGTTTATGTGGCACTGAGGAATCGAACCCAAGGCTTCAATGCATGCTAGGCAAGCACTCTACCACTAAGCCACATTCCCAGCCCCATGAGACTCTTATCTCCAGTTAACTACCAAAAAGCTGGAAGCAGAGCTGTGGTTCAAGAAGTAGAGTATTAACACTGAGCAATAAAAGCTTCCAAATGGTGCCTAAATTCAAGCCCCAGAATTGGAAAAAATAAGTGGTTGGGTTTTTTGTTTGGTTTTGTTTTGTTTTAGAGTCTTACTACATTGCTCAGGCTATCCTCAAGCTTCTGCTACTTCTGGCTCAGCCTCCAAGTAGCTGGGATTACAGATATTCTGCCACTGCACCTGAACATTTTTTTAAATTTTTAATTGACACTTGGTATTTGTACATATTTATCAGGCACACTTTAATTCAATATATGTGCACAATGCATAATGATCAAATTGGGGCAATCATTTCCATTTCCTCAAGCATGTTATTTCTATGTGTTTGGAACACTTGAATTCTTGTTGTTTTGAAATATATAATAAGGGGTTGGGCTACAGCTAAGCAGTAAAGGCTTACCTAGCATGTGGAAGGCCCTGGGTTCAATCCTCAATGGAACTAATTGTTGTAGATTCTTGGCGGGGGAGTGGGGGGGGAGGGGGCGGTGGGAAGGAAAAACTGGGAGACAGCAAAGGGAAGGGGTGACATTGTCCAAAGGAAACATACTCGTTACCTGACTTACTTAACTGTAACCCTTTTGTACATCACTTTTTTTTTTTTTGGGTCCGGTTGTGGGGTCTGAACTCTGGGCCTGGGCGCTGTCCCTCAGCTCTTCAGCTCAAGGCTAGCACTCTACCACTTGAGCCACAGCGCCACTTCCGGCTTTTTTCTTTTTGCTTATGTGGTGCTGAGGAATCGAACCCAAGGCCTCATGCATGCAAGGCAAGCGCTCTACCACTGAGCCACCTTCCCAGCCCCTGTACATCACCTTCATAGTAACAATTAAAAATTTTTTTAAATCATTGTAGATTGTGCTACAAAATACTAAAAAAATTCCTCCTTTCCAACTACACTCATTATCTAGCCTTATCATCCCCCTCTGTACCCCACCTACCCCTTCTATTCAATAGTGACTACTATTCTACTCTACTTCTATGAGCCTAATTTACATATTTTTAAAATTCCAATCTGCTCTGGAATTATATCTTTGTAGAATATAAAATATAATATATATAATATGTATTATAAGTTAACTACATTAAGATGTAAAGTTATTACAAAGTCCAAGCCCAATTCTGAAACTACTAAAGCCAACAGAGTCTACTGGTCAGCACTCTATGAAAATTTCTAAAATCTGACTCTCAATTTCTTGTTCCAGGATTTTTTTTGGGGGGTCCGATCGTGGGGCCTGAACTCTGGGCCTGGGCACTGTCCCTCAGCTCTTCAGCTCAAGGCTAGCGCTTGCTTTACCACTTGAGCCACAGCGCCACTTTTGGCTTTCTTTTTTCTTTTTGCTTATGTGGTGCTGAGGAATCGAACCCAGGGCCTCAGGCATGCAAGGCAAGCGCTCTACCACTGAGCCACCTTCCCAGACCTTGTTCCAGAATTTTAATCTCAGTTTGTGGACCAAATTCTGACTATCAGTGACATAAACCACTCTTCTCAAATGTCTCATCTGCTAAACCAAATATAAACTTCTCACCATTGACCTGTAGGTTCCACCTTACCTAGCTCTAATAGGCAAGCTCTTACCTTCTTCCCAACATAACTATTTAACCTACTCTTTTTTTTTTTTCCCATTTACTCAACCATCTAAAGTACATTTTATATTTGTTGTAACACAACTGAAATATTCTCACTAGAAAGATTTCCTAGAAGCCAGTAGTGGCTCATACCTGTAATCCTAGCTACTCAGAAGGCTGAGATCTGAGGATCATAGTTCAAAGCTAACCTGGGCAAGAAAGTCCATGAGACTTATCTCCAAATTAACCACCAGAAAACCAGAAGTAGAGCTGTGGCTCAAAGTGGTAGAGCGCTAGTCTTAAACAAAAGAACTCAGGGCCTGGGCGTCAGTGGCTTACTCCTGTAATCCTAGCAATTCAGGAGGCTGAGATCAGAGGATCGCGGTTCAAAGCCAGCCCAGGCAGGAAAGTCCGTAAGACTCTTATTTCCAATAAACCACCAGAAAACCAGAAGTGGCACTGTGGCTCAAGTGGTAACGTGCTAACCTTGAGCTAAAGAGCTGAGGGGCAGTTTCCAGGCTCAGAGTTCAAGCTCTATGACTGACCAAAAAAACCCCAAAAAACAGAAAACAATAACTTGGAGACCATGCCCAGGCCCCTAGTTGGTATCCCACAACTAACAAACAAAAAAAAAAGTCTATAAACATTAATATGGATACACAAGTAACAGAAAGTATATAAGAAACTGCCTAGCTATCTAAGAGTTTGAGTACACAAAGTTAAAATAACAGGAAATACTTTGTGTGTCGGGGGTCAGTTCTAGGCTTTGAACTCACCTATACACTGTCTTTGAGATGTTTTGCTCAAGGCTAGTGCCACTGGAACCACAGCTCCACTTCTGGCTTGGTGGTGGTTAATTGCAGATAAGAGTCTCATAGAGTTTCCTGCCCAAGTAGCTTCAGACCATGATCCTCAGATTGCAAGCTTCTGAGTAGATCAGTTACAGTCTTTTACTATGAGAATTTACGCTTACCTTCTCTTCACTATTTGTAGCTATCTTTTTTTTTTTTTCTTATTAGGTCTGTCTCCATTAACTCTGGACCCTAAAACAGCTCACCCAAATCTGCTCCTATCCAAAAACTACACCAGTGTATGGCACAGTGACATTAAGCAAGCACTGACTGACAATCCAGAGAGGTTTGACTCAAGTGTGGCTGTCCTGGCTTCCCAAGGCTTCACCTCTGGAAAGTGGTACTGGGAAGCAGAAGTAGCAAAGAAGACCAAGTGGACAGTAGGTGTCGCCAAAGAATCCATCGTTCGTAAGGGCAGCTGTCCTCTAACTCCTGAGCAAGGATTCTGGCTCTTAAGATTAAGGAACCGAACTGATCTAAAGGCACTGGATTTGCCTGCTTGCATTCTAAAGCTGACTAAGAAGCTCGACAAGGTGGGCATATATCTAGATTATGAGGAAGGGCAAGTGTCCTTCTACAATGCTAAGAACATGGCCCACATTTATACCTTCAGTAGCATTTTCGTGGAGAAACTGTACCCTTACTTCTGCCCCTGCCTTAATGACGGTGGAGAGAATAAAGAACCATTGTATATTGTACATCCACAGTAATTAGTCATACTACTGTATAAATTCAGAGGCTATTAAATAAGTATTGAAATATCTTACCAGTCTCTCACTCAATTCTATTCCCAATTTATGGGATCTCTGAAAGGGTGAAATGTGATGTTTAGGAAAATCACAAACTTAAGCAGAAGGATCCTGACTTAGAGGACAGCCTGGACTACATGGCAAAAAGGAAAAACAAACAATCAAAAATACAGCACAGGGCTGGGAAGGTGGCTCAGTGGTAGAGCGCTTGCCTTGCATGCATGAGGCCCTGGGTTCGATTCCTCAGCACCACGTAAGCAAAAAGAAAAAAGCCGGAAGTGGCACTGTGGCTCAAGTGGTAGAGCGCTAGCCTTGAGCTGAAGAGCTGAGGGACAGCGCCCAGGCCCAGAGTTCAGGCCCACAACTGACCAAAAAAAAAAAAAAAAAGGTAAGACATAGTTTTAGAGAAATATCTAGTCATACATGTACATTTTAACATGTAGGGGCTGGGAATGTGACTCAGTGGTAGAGTGCTTGCCTACCATGCACGAAGCCCTGGGTTCAATTCCTCAGCACCACATACACAGAAAAAGCTAGAAGTGACACTGTGGTAAAATGCTTGCTGCTTTGAGCAAAAGAAACCCAGGGACAGTGCCCACCCAGGCCCTGAGTTCAAGCCCCAGGACTGGCCAAAACAAAACAAAAACCCCAAAGGGAGAAAAATCAATAAACTTTTAAGAATGTAGGGGAAAAGAAAAAACAACAACAGCAATTTGGAATCAGGAAAATTCAATGGAAATTACATACTGCTGAAATTGACATCAACAGGAAATACCCACAAAATCAAAAGTTTGGTTTTTTTTTTTTTTTTTTGGGGGGGGGAAGGCTAATAAAATCGACAAACCTCTAAAGAGACTAGGAAATAGAAAGTGCAAATAAAATGTGAGAAATGAGCTGGGCACTGATGGTTCACACCTGTCATCCTAGCTACTCAGGCGGGGAGATCTGTGGATGCGGTTTGAGGCCAGGCCAGACAGGAAAGTCTGTGAGACTCTCATCTCCAGTGAGCAAACAAACCAACAAACCCACTGAGCTGTGGCCAGGTGGTAGAGTGCCAGCCTTGATTGAAAACGCACACACGTACGCGTGCCAAGTATTTGTAGATGAAATGGTAGCCAAGACTTGATGCTACACAATCTCATCCCAATCTCAACACCCTGGGTTCAAACACTCACCAGCTCCAGCGTCCTTCCTCGCGGCTTCCCCAGCTTAGTTCAACAGTCTGGTCCGGCGTGCGGCAAGCTTTTCCCGCCTTTTGCTGCCGGTAACCAATCAGTGCGAAGATCTTCGGTCCTGAGCCAATCAGCGATCCCCGCAGCAGGCCTTTCCCCCCCCCCCCTCCCTCCCCGCCCACCTCCTCGCGGTCCCGGAGCCGCCATGTTTCAAGGGCAGCGGGGCTGGTTCTGTGGTAGCGTCGGCCAGGACCTGAGGCAGTTCTGGAGTAGGCGGCTTGGCCGGAGGGGGCCGAGTGAGGTGGGGAGGGTCGGAAGGGTGGCTCCAGGAGGTCCGCCAGGCTCACCCCGCGCTCTTGCCTCCGCAGTGGCCGAAGGCGGCACGGTCAGTGACTGGCGGGCCGCAGACTTCCTGTTCAGCAGCGACGCCTCGCACCCGGACACGCTGAGGTACCCGCGGCCCTCCTCGCGGCGCCTCCCAGCCGGGGACGGCCGCCGTCGGCCCCGGGTCGTCGGAGACGAGCGGGGCTCCGGCCTTGCACGTGTGCGCTGTCCTCGCCATCGCCCCGCCGCCGTGCCGCCATGCCGCCCGGGCGCCGGGGCGTCCCACCCGGTCCCAGCCTCGTGGTTCCAGCTGTCCCCCCGCGGGGAGCACTGCAGGGGACCCGCGTACTCCATGTCTAAAACCCAGATGACCACCTCATAGCAGTGCCGTTCCGATCCTGTGTTGTTCACACTTAAACTCTTCCTGGACATTTGTGTGTGGGGGGGGGGGGGGTGGTATTGGTCGTGGGGCCTGAACTCTGGGCCTGGGTGCTGTCCCTCAGCTCCTCAGCTCAAGGCTAGCGCTCTACCACTTGAGCCACAGCGCCACTTCCGGTTTTCTAGTGGTTAATTGGAGATAAAAGAGGCTCACGGACTTTCCTGCCCAGGGCTGGCTTTGAACCGTGATCCTCCGATCTCAGCCTCCTGAGTAGCTAGGATGACAGGCGTGAGCCCCTGGCCTCCGGTTTTCATAACATCCTTTGAATATCAAGACCCTGTGCCTAGGAATCTTGTCATTGGTGAGATACCATGGATCATAGTCCCATAAAGGTGAATTTCGAGGTAGTCACTAATGAGCTTTGAACTCAGGGCCTCAAACTTGCTAAGAGTCACTCTACCACTTGAGCGACACCCCATGGCTATTTTTTTTTTGGCCAATCCTGGGGTTTGAACTCAGGGCCCGGGTGTTGTTCCTGAGCTTCTTTTGCTCAAGGCTAGTGCTCTACCACTTGAGCCATGGCTCTACTTCTGGCTTTTTCTGTGTATGTGGTACTGAGGAATCGAACCCAGAGCTTCATGCATGTCAGGCAAGCACTCTACCACTAAGCCATGTTCCCAGCCTCTGTTTGTTTGAATAAGGTTTTTTTTGTTTTTTTTTTTTGGGTCCGGTCATGGGGTCTGAACTCTAGGCCTGGGCGCTGTCCCTCAGCTCTTCAGCTCAAGGCTAGCACTCTACCACTTGAGCCACAGCGCCACTTCCGGCTTTTTTCTTTTTGCTTATGTGGTGCTGAGGAATCGGACCCAGGGCCTCTGGCATGCAAGGCAAGTGCTCTACCACTGAGCCACCTTCCCAGCCCTTGAATAAGGTTTTGTATTGTATTTTCTTCCTGGCCAGCGTTGGACCAGGATTATCCTACTTACACCTTTGGTGTAGCTGGGTTAAGAGGCATGAACCACCCCGCAGAGCTGTTGGTCTCACTAATATATTTTTCCCCCAAGGCTAACTTTGCACAGTGATCATCCTTGGATATCTGCTTCCCAATAGCTAGGATTACAGGCACCAACCACCAAGAGGACTATTATGATTTTTAGTAGCATCTTAATTGCCAGGCTAATTGTTACTGTTTAAGTAGCATTGTAACTGCTATTTGCCCCACACCTCACAGTAATTATGTCACCTAGAATCTGTCTTGTGCAATCTCCATCCTGCTGTGAGATTAAGGTTGTTAAGCACGGATCTGCTCCTGGCTTCTCATCCTTCCTCCCTTCTCCCCTCTATTTACAGACTTTGATCTTGGCTAGAGAATAGTTTTTATTTTCCAGTTTTCTTCATGTCTTCCATAATCCAGTCAGCCTGAACTCTCATTATTGTGCCACCTTTATGTCTTTTTCATCTTCAAGTACTTGTGTGTCTTTTTCTTTTTCTTTTAATTTTTTTTTGGGGGGTCAGGTCATGAGGCCTGGCCTGAACTCTGGGTCTGGGCGCTATTCCTCAGCTCTTCAGCTCAAGGCTAGTGCTCTAGCACTTGAGCCACAACGCCACTTCCAGCTTTTTTTTTCTTTTTGCTTATGTGGTGCTGAGGAATCGAACCCAGGACCTCATGCGTGCAAGGCAAGCGCTCTACCACTGAGCCACCTTCCCAGCCCCTGTCTTTTTCTTTAATGGTTTTCCCTCTTCTACTTTTTTACAGGCCTAGTTATCTATTTATGAAATCTTTCCTAACAGCATGCCCTGCCCATTCTCTACCTCAGAATTAACTGATCCTTCATAATGGCACTATGAGGAAACTCAGTTTATAAGCTGCTGATGTCCAAGCTACTGTTAATTTCTATTTACTTACTGTTTTAGGTTAAGTTTATAAATTTGCATAGTCATTTTTTAACTCTCTAAAGCTGAGGTTTGCCTAGATTCAGGCTGCCAAACTAAGTAGTAGTATACTCTTACGCTGAAAATGGAGCTCAGTGGGATCGTGCTTGCCTAGCATGTGCAAGGCCCTGGGTTCCATCTCGCACTAAAAAATAAAAATTTTTAAAAAGATTTTCTTGGGCTGGGAAGGCGGCTTAGTGGTAGAGCGCTTGCCTTGCATGCATGAGACCCTGGGTTCGATTCCTCAGCACCACATAAGCAAAAAGAAAAAAGCCGGAAGTGGCGCTGTGGCTCAAGTGGTAGAGTGCTAGCCTTGAGCTGAAGAGCTGAGGGACAGAGCCCAGGCCCAGAGTTCAAGCCCCACGACCGGACCCCCCCCCCCAAAAAAAAATAAATAAATAAATAAAAAGATTTTCTTTTTGCCAGGGAGAAAAGGTCATCATAATTGTCCGTATTTCCATTTATTTTTTTCTTTTGAAAAGTCGACACATTCTTGTTCATTTCATATTCTAAAAGGTTTCCTTTCTTTCTCCTAGAATATATCACAGCCTTGACTACATAGAAGATAATGCTACTGTTTTTCATGCCTACTATCTCTCTGCGGTCGCTAATGCTGAAATAAAAAACTCTGTGGCTTTAGGTCATTTCATTCTTCCTCCTGCTTCTCTGCAAAAAGGTTAGCAAATGTCACTCAACTAATCTTTGTTTGCCAAATCCAGCTAATCCCTGTCAGATAGCCCAATCCAATTTTACTTATATATTTGCTCTCAATCAGAAAGCATTGAGTTTTGCACCGTTTAACGTGAGTGGAAAAAGTATAGACTTTGAGTCAGATTACCTTGGGTGTTATTTATTCATTACATATTTATTAAACCCCACCCCATGACAAGTTCTAACTCACATTTGGGGATTCAATGATGAATAAGACAGACGTGGAAATAGCCCTCAAAGCTATCTTGTCCCAAGTTGTTTTAAGGTAAAAATAAGGTAATAAGGTATAGGACACGTTGAGCATTTATAAATGCATTCTTTTTTTTTTTGGTCCAGTCGTGGGTCCTGAACTCTGGGCCTGGGCGCTGTCCCTCAGCTCTTCAGCTCAAGGCTAGCACTCTACCACTTGAGCCACAGCGCCACTTCCGGCTTTTTTCTTTTTGCTTATGTGGTGCTGAGGAATCGAACTCAGGGCCTCATGCATGCAAGCAAGGCAAGC